CACCCACGACTTACATATACACTGGTTACAACTCGATCAGCTAGGAGAGCTGATGTCCAATGCCTACACCATTTTTAACCAGTATATACAAATTTCATTATTATTTTTATACTATTTTGAATTTAATTATATATCGTAACAACATGTGGGGCACTAGTTAGCAAGATGGTAAATATAGTGGTTGCCCTTCTCACCTCACTACTAGCTAGGAAAACCATTTTTGCAGGAGACCAAAATTTGTCTTCCCAGGCGGACGGTCGCCCCCCTGTAGGCAAAGGCATGGGAAGATTGATCTTTGCAAGCGGACGGCCATCTTGATCCCCCGCCTCCCTATTTTGCAGGCGGACGGATGATGGCAACAATGTTATCTGCCTAGGAAGATAGACGCACCTCGTCTGCGAAAATCGTTTTCCTAGTAGTGCCTCAATAGATGTATTTACCTCGCAACTCATGCAACATAAGTGACCATGATTAAAATCCAAAAGAAATAATCATGCATCTCTGGCTAAATGTACTGTAGCCATGAATATGCAACAAGGAAAATTAAGGGGCAATTCCATTCTTACCCCTCTGTTCATTTCTAGTTTTGATTTGTTTTTATTTTGGTATCTTTTTTGAAGTGATGCTTGTGATTGTTCCCATTCAATTAGGAGGACTTGACGGTGTGAAAACTCATGTTAAATACATTGGTAAAATTCATGAAAAGTTTGTGCTTGCTCTTTTTTTAACTAGATTTGTGAAAATGCATGTCAAAAGGCTTGATGTCAAAAGGGGGAAATTAAATTACAAAGTCCTCATAAAAATTGTGGTAAATTTGCAAGACCATACATCGATGTTTTTAACATTGTTAAGTACTCCTTCAGATGGAATATGGGCAAACACAAGATTTAGATTTAAAAATAAGAGGAAACATAAAGTAAGAAAACTAGGGATGAAGTTATCGTTTGAGTTCAACATGAGGCATGAACATATATAATTTCTCCAAGTTTAAAAAATAGGTAATTTTGCTACAGGACATCCAAAACTTGTGAAATTTGCTAATAGACATCAAAAACACGTGTCATAGCTGAAAGACATCCTAAAAAGGTGGTAATTTGCTGGAGGATACTTTCAGCTCAATCGGAGAAACAAATTCTTAAGAAAGACAAGAATGTCCCTATGAACACATGCTTTAAACATGGTGTTAGAGTAAACATTTAGAAATTATGCAACTCTAAATTTGTCATCACCAGAAGTAAATCACTAGCAAATATCATATGCCATCTTCACTTCAAACTCGGCTTAAAAGCTTTTGACCCGAGGGGCATTCTCGTCTTTTTGAAGAATTTCTCTATCAAATTGAACTGAAAGTGTCCCGTAACAAAATTATTGTTTTTTAAGTGTCTTTCAGTCGTGACATATTTTTACGATATTTACAAGCAAATTACACAAATTTTAAGTGTCTTATAGCAAATTTCACTAAAAAAATAAAGCATGACATCTGCACAGTGACATCTCATGAAGAGTTAAAATCCCTTAAACACTGTATCATCACTAGATCGACTGTACCACGTACAAGTCCACAACAAAATTAAATGCATGGCTTCATATAGTTCAGATTAGTACTACACCTTCGTCCCAAAATTGGTGCCCATAATTGAAGTGATGTGCAGCTCACCTGTCTGCTAATTACCGATCATGATTAGCATTTGATACACACCATTTACATCATGAAACTTTCTTGTCCTTCCCCTGCATTCTGCATTTCTGCTAGTGTGCATCAATTGCAAGCATACAGGCAAGACCGGCTGCATATGCAGTCAGCAAAATTACAATGCACTGTAATTGGATTAGTTTTTTTTTTTACGCTGAATTGGATTAGGTTGGGCCAGGCCTAAATACATTAGATACTTAGATTATTATATGGGCCTCAAAGTCCATTGAGCTAAGGAGAAAGCAGTCTAAACACCTGCCTCCTCCGGATGATGAATGCTAGAAGACAGATTGAGTATATTACGAGACTATCAGATGTACAAAGATATATCAGCGCAGAGCAATTAACTGGGACGTACAGTAGATTAAGTATATATATATAATGTAGCTATAAAAGTAATTAAATTGTTGCAGCATTCTGAAGGTGATGCGTACAAAGTAGTGCATGCTCAGAATAACTCACTTAATTGTGGTTCCAATCGAAACAAACACACGCGTATACATATATGTATTTGTGGCATAGTATTGCTTGTGACATGCATATATATAACAAATTAATTTGTAATATGATCAAATATGGACGCGTCCAAACTGCGGCTCCACATTTTGAATAAGATGTACAATAACTTTATTTAGTCAAGTTAATTAACTCCCAAATAATTAAAATGGCAACCTTCCATTAGATCAAAATGTGTGGGAAAGAATTTGTGGCCCTCACAGCATAGTTGCATAGTCACAGCTGAGACAATAATAGATCTCATAAAATTGTACGTACCAAGGATGAGGTAATCCTTGGATTGTGTACGTTGAGGAGTACACAAAACGTATGGTATGATATTAAGGTAGTTCACTACCTTAATTAGCTTCACTTTATGATCACTGCACATAGACAGTTCCTTGCTGGCTGGCTTTGTGTTATGGAGTTTATATACTGTAGATGAAGATGATAAGTGAGACTAGCTACTCATATATCATGGACCTTGCATGCATGTTGGATCCACGTCTAATTAACAATACGAAATTGCTAGAAAATTTCTGCAAGTTTTTTATCCTCAAAATTTTTAGATTTGTGGCCATCGGATCATCTCGAGATTTATATATACAAGAAAAAAATTGCTAGAAAGAAATTTTCACACATATCACGCGTAAAATACAGGTACTAAGCAACCAAATTAACTATAGTTGAATACAAGTTTTATATAAGTTATATAATAGTTACAGTGTGGTTACAACACAGTTATAGTTAGGGCTATCAAAAAAGATCGAGGCTCGCGAGCAGCTCGAGCTTAGCTTGTCCTAGGCTCTGTTCAAGCTCGGCCTAAGCTCCAAACGAGCCGAACTCGAGCCTGAGCAAAAGCTCGCGAGCTTTACCGAGCCGAGCTTAATTATATATAGTTTATATTGTTTGTTCACCTTATTGATTTATAAACCAATAGATAAATATATATATTAATATCAATTTACACAATAAATTAGCATGTGTTAGCACAATATATTTATTTTAATCATTTTCTACTCTTTTATTAGTGTGATTAACTAGAAAATAATTATACTTATCAAGAGATTATCATTAAAATATATATTATCTTACTTATGGCCGAGCTCGAACCGAACTTGTCTAAAAGCTCGAAGGTGCAATAGGCCCGGCTCAAGCTTATGTCGAGCTCGAGCCTGGGCAAACGGGCTCGCTCGAGCTCGGTTCATTCACAGTTATACTATTAGTTATATCTAAAAACTTTTCACTCAAAAAACTTGTGATAATTTGTAGATACTCCTGCAACCTTTGTATGATTGATCTATGCTTCCAATTAAATTCATGGAAATTAATAGCAGGAAGCATGCTGCATTGGTATAGTTTTTTCTTTGAAAAATCCAGAAAATTCTAAACATTTTCTCTCCCAAGCCTCTGATGCATCCGGCGACCGTACCACACGTGAGTACCTCGTCCTCCATTGCCGGCTCAGGAATATATTCCATCTATATACCAAATACAACTATATATAACAAATTAAATTGTGCAAACTATACTTAGGCCCTGTTTAGATCCCACCCCAAAATTTTTCACCCTGTCACATCGAACATTTGAACACATGCATAAAGTATTAAATATAGGCTTAAAAAACTAATTGCACAAATTGCGACTAATTTGCGAGACGAATCTTTTGTGCCTAATTGTTACATGATTTGACAATATGGTACTACAATATATATTTGTTAATGATGGATTAATTATGCTCAATAAATTCGTCTCACGGTTACGGATTCTGTAATTAGTTTTTTTATTAGTGCCCAAACACCCCATGCAACATTCTATATAATATTCAATGTGACAGTCCAAAACTTTACACTACTGGATCTAAACACCCCCATAGGATGTGTTTGGTTCGATGGGCTAAGCAAAATAATTAAGCCGAAAAACAAACTAACTCGGAAAGAAATATAATGTATGGTTATTTTACCTGTAGGAGCAAACTGGTTAATTAAATTTGGGAGATAAAGAACTAGCTAGCATGCAAGCAATAGAGCTGATCAGTTCTCAATACCTGAAAAGTAATATCTCTTTATATATTTAAACACGCATAGGCTTCATTTCGATTCTGAAAGTGCACACCCACTGCACTACTGTCCATATCATATATAACTTCTCGATCTTAAGGCGATATATATTTTAGTTGTATTGAACTCTAACCATAAATTCCTACTTGCAATATACTGCCGTTAATTGAGATGCTGTCGTGGTAAAGGGTATGTGGTTTCAGCTACAAGGTCTGAATCTCAACACACTCAAAATTCCTTCTATTATCTGATAACCAAATTCCTCCTTAGTGGTACTCATTTTTTATATACCGTTGTTATAGGATATAGTGAGTATATATTTGGAAGTACATTTACAGTAGTGGTGGTACCACTACTTTGTGCATGCATATATCACTAAATGTGAGTCTATTTGCTAGTCAAAACTAACGTACTGAATCTTGGGATATGTGCATACGTGCTCCTTTGTAATTAACTAAGCAGAGGAAGTAACTGGCATGCAATGTGTGAATTATAGAGAGAGGCGGTTTGGATGAGTCTGAACTGAATATATATGTTTGAAGAATCGAGTTTGTAATTAGAAGGAAATTAAGAAGAGGGAGTTTTACTGTAACCCTAGCTAAACAAGTACAGTAAGTTAAATGTAGGCAGAAGAAGCAAGCATACAGTAAGAGATCATAAAAGTTCGAATATAATATTGTAGGAACAGTCATCTCCAACAGAGGAATCCATTATGAGAACAACAAATTTAACATGTGATTTGGAAATGTAGCTAGACTAATAACTATATATAGCAATAGCAGACACATGGCACATTCCCATAACCATGCATATGGAAACCCGGATTACACATCCCAATGCAATGCGTGGGACGGATTTGTTTCAATTTTTGGGTACAAATTAAGGCTAATTAAACCCCAAGGCAAAATTCTATAGTTTCGCCTCGATCGATCTGGCAATGATCGATATATTTACATATAACACACACTCTTAAATTTCTCTAATCTCTAGCTCACATGTAGCTAGCACACTCTGATCCTAATTCTCCGTTGGTTTCTTCAGAGATTAATTTGAATTTTGAAGAAGTTCATCTCATCATCAAATTATAGGTACATATATCGATGTAGCTAGGAATGATGAACCTGATGTGAAGCGAAGGATCAACGATGATATGGATCATCCATCGATCGATCATTGTAGCTAGGGCAGCAACAGAAGATGAATGAGAAGATCGAAGAGGAAGAAAACGAAGAACAAGTGAAGAAGAAGAAGAAGAAGAAGAAGAAGAAGAAGAAGAAGAAGAAGAAGAAGAAGAAGAAGAAGAAGAAGAAGGCGCCGGGGTGATATATATGATCGATACGATGCAGCTAGCTGCGCTTGCGTGTTACCTCGTCTTGTCTCCGGCGATGTCAACGCCGAACAGCTTGACGACGACACGGGCATCGTCGTCGACGGTTGCCAGGTTGTTCCTCTCCATCTTCTTGCAGTCGATGAGGAGGTGCTTCTCCGTCCCCCACGCCGCCGCCGACCGGGAGAAGGCCACGGTGTCGCCTGGTCGGAGGCCCTTCTCCCTCACGAATCGGCTCCACCCCTTGGTGAGCACGTAACTCTGGCTGCTGTTCCAGTACGAGTACCGGAATCGCCACACCTTGCCGTCGCCGTCCTCGAAGTTGAGGAGCACGCCCTTGCCGGCGGCGTCGGAGCTGTGGCGGCGGAGCGGGAACGGGAAATGCCTCTCGGCCTGCTGCTTGGGCACCACGAGGCGGTTGAGCTTGCCGACGTCGCTCGGCGTCACGGCCTTCTCGAACAGCGGCTCGCGCGCCCACCGCGGCGTCGGCTGCGCGCGCGAGCCGCGGCGGAGGCCCTGCTGGAGCTCGTCGTCGTAGGTGTGCTTCCGCAGCATGTCCACGACCTCCGCCTTGGAGTGCGCGGCCAGGAACGCGAGCTCGCCGGCGGACGCGCCCTCCGCCGCCGGGGCGCGGTTGGTGACGGCGTCGCGCCCCCGGAAGCGGAGCGCCGCCACGTCGTAGGCGCGCGCCGCCGCCTCCTCGTCGGGGAACGTCCCGAGCCACACCCGCGCGTGCCGCTCGTAGATCTGCGCCCCCCACCGCCCGTTCGGCTGCGGCACCACCCCCTTGTACCGCGACGACGGCCGCGTCGCCGTCGTCGACGACGGCAGCCGCAGCTCCGCCGCCTGGACGACGTGGATCAACTCGTCTTCCTCCATTGCGGCCAACTCCTCCTCCTCCTCCTCCTCTTGCTTTGAATCGGTCGTCGACGACGACCCACCGGAGCCGGAGTTGCAGGAGAAGACGACCATGGCAGCTTCTTGCTCCATGATCGATCTGGATCAAAGATACTAAAAAATTTCTCGAGCTCTCTGACGATTATGATGTCGACGTCGTGGTAGTTCTTGACGAATGGAAAGAGAGAACAGCCTAGCTTATAGATACTAGTATATATGCGACTTGGAGTGGCCTTGTAGCTAGATTGGTAGTATATGTTGTGTTGAGCTTTCAGCTTAGCTGCTTCCAGCCCTTCACTCGTATGTATGATAGCTAGTTTTGTGTTTATGTTAGCTTCTAATTGCACATTCTTGCAAACTTTACACTGTTGAGACTGTCATTTTATGCTATATTTTTTGCGTGATCTTTTCAGGCAAGTGTTCGTTTGTGCCTACTGTTTAGGCATGTGTGGCTACGAGAATCTCTGTTAGTAATCGACTATTTTGGTCGATGCTATTATTTAGTTTTGATGTGTACCATATTTAATTAAATTTGATTCGTGCAAGCCAGCATGCTTTTTCCACAGAAATGGTCCATGAGCATACATATATTCTTAGCTATTTTAGTATTTTTACTGATAATTTTAATTGGTTTTTTTTGGTGAAACAATTTAATTGTCGCTTTCAGGCAAAAGAAAGATGCACACTTACTAGTATGTACTTTTTCCTGTACGCATCCATCTGGGCCTCCTGTTCCTTCCCGCGTGGTTGTGCATGTTTTCTGATCATGTATTCTGTTCTAAGGACAGGCCACGCAAACTTGTTTTATTTTCACATTCGAGTCCTCTTAATTTCATCCAGTCCAGGTATATATATTTTTAATTTCTGCCAAAGTGTGCTTTGTTTTTCTCGAAATTAATTAAGATCCCCAAAAGAGTGTAATTAAACTAAAGCACTAAATTAAAACATAGGAAATATTATATGTAGGTCGATCATGCACGTACAGGCACGCTGCTTTAAACATGGCGATCAAGCAATTAATATAATTTAATTAGTACGATTGGTTGATTGGTCAAATTTAATTGACGACTGATGAGTACTAATATTATATCTGAAGAAAAGACAGGGTGAACTGTTTCACTATATATACATGCATGTCCGTACAATCATGGCAACCGTCGAGGAGATAATAGTTTTTGGTGGAATATATTCTAAGAGGTTGATTACTGTGAATGTTTAAAGGCATGCACATTTCAGCTGTATAGCATGGCCCCATATGGGGTCCCTCATGGCACTGAAGTTTTCTTCCTATACTTTTCGTGGATTCATATTTATGCACTGTACCCTTCATGTTGCTCTCCTGCTCAAGCTGATCAGCTCTAAGAATATAAGAGCAGGAGCAATAGTAGACTATAAGCCAGCTATAAACATATTTTAAGAAAATAAAAGAGAAGAGAGAAGAGCAGTAGACTACAGATTTATAGCCAGCTACAGCATGGGCTCCAAGATACATGTGTTTATGATAAGTGAATCTAGGTATTAATTGTGTACTATATGTTATATGTAACTATTGTATGAATTAGCTATTAAATCGACTATATATGATTTGAAGCAAGTAGTTGGCTATACTATTAAACTTGCTCTAATAGAGATTTTAGATACATGATGACGAAAGCAAAAAAGGTGTGCATGATTTTCGATTGTTTTAATTTGCATACCGTCCTTCTTAGCTCAAAAAATGGAGAAGAAATTAGGTGTTTGATCTGATAATACTCTTTCACATGCAGGTAGAGTTGTACACATCAATGCATGGTTATCCTCTATCCCTCATATGCTATGGGTTTCTATCAACTTTATGAATGATTACATCATAACTTTGACTTAATTAGTGGTAGATACTATTGGCTAGGAAATAAACAAGGCATGAAATACCACATGGTGAAGTGGTCTGATCTAGCTTTCCCTAAAGAGTTTGGGGGACTGGGGCTTACTGAAACTAGAATACTGAACACTGCTTTACTAGCTAAATAGTTGTTTAAGATTGAATCCCCTGATAAGAGTTTGTGTGTTGAGCTATTGAGGAAGAAATACCTACACAATGGTGGGATGTTCCAATGCTCCCCTGATAGAGCTTCTCAATTCTGGGTTGGGGTGCTTCGTGCAAGAAAGTGGATGAAACTTGGGTCAAAGTGGCAGGTAGGTAATGGTACTCTGTTAACGACCAAATTTGATGTGTTTTTTGCATCAACATAAGCCGGGCTGGGCTTTGCCTAGCACACTCCCGCACTGGGCTTTCAATATAAGCCGGGCCACTGGCCTTTTTCTAAAAAAAATTAGACAGTCCAAAAAATAATCTTGATCAATTATTTTAAACCACATATGTCATCCTAATATACCGTGCTTCATATAGTTTTCTATAATAACTAATTACAACAAACATGGACGTTGAATCGGCTGTGCAATTAGGGATGGGCCAAATGTATTACTAAGTCCATACAATTAAAAATAGTCTATGAGCTTAGTTGGTTTTTTTTTCTTTTCATCAGGGAGGCGACCGCAACATGAGAAGGGGGAGGAGACGAGGGATGACCCTTTTTAGTAAGATATTTTAGTGGTAATTGTTTGCACTTTGAAAGCATGATTCTACAACTTCCCCTTAAATGTACTTTGAGATGCATAGAACCCTAAGGTCTTCTTTGTAACGGAGGATTTTTAAAGGATTATTTAATCTAAATTCCTGCATAAACCCTGTTAAAATCTTGCATTTGATAGAGCCCTAATAAGAAAGTGAGAACATAGAAGTGTTTTTCTCTTTTCTGTCATGTTCAAATGGAGAGAAGGTTTGATCATAATTTACATATATCTCTCTCCTATTTTAATAATTGTTTTTAATTACAAGATGTTAATTCATTTCACTATAGTAAATATATTCCCTCGGGTAACAAACATTTGGATATATGTTGTTTAGGTCATGCCTTAAAAAAAAGGCCAAATTTACTACAGAACATTCACAAAGTGCGGTCTTTGCTAGTAGACACCGTAAGAACATGAATTTGCTCGAGCACACTCTAAAAGTGTGGTAATTTGTTATAGGACACTAATGCCATTAAAATATTATTTTCACTAGATTGGTGAGAATTTATATAAAATGACTTTTTTGCCCATATCTTATTCCTCCATCCATTCCACTCATGCGCAACCCGCAGAGGGAGGGAGGGCATGAGAAGCAGCGATGCAACTATACCGCGTGGTGGCGATGACCTTGCGGCGGATCGGCGAGCGGTGCAACGCTTATGACTACAGAGTGGGGGGGGGCTGCAACGTCACGAGAAACATGGGGCACGTGTGCGAGTGATGGCAGCACAACGGTGAGGACTACGTGGTGGGGCGGCACAGCGGCGCTGACCTCGTGGCGGGGCGTGCGCAGCCTGCGACCTCAACGCAGCAGGGGGCGATGGTGACCTCGTGGTGAGGCTGCGAGGTGGCAGGGTGCAATAGTGGCGAGTTCACGGCAGCACGCACATGCATCGTCTATCGGGTTTCAGCGCCTGGTGGCAGTGACTTCATGACGGGGTGAGCATGCACGGTCAACCGGATTTGGATGCCCTCTAGCTGCCACAGCAGCTTCACCGTTGATGCATGTTGCTTGAAGAAGACTGTGAGAAGGAAGAAGAAGATGGGGGCAAAACTGATATTTTATATGGTTTCTCTCTCATCAATTGGATGTATGTTGTATTTTAATGTTTTTGGTGTCCTACAGCAAATTATCGTACTTTTGGAGTGTCTTTGGGCAAATTTCACGTTATTTTGGTATCCACTAGCAAAGACCACACTTTTTCAGTGGCCCGTAATAAATTTTGCCTAAATAAAATTTCAAAATTTCTTGGAAGCATTGGTTGTATGATGGTGGAGTTCTAGGTGCATGACTTCACCCACCACAATTCAAATCTGAAAGTGCATCTAGGCCTCCTAAGTGGGTTTTGGAATATTGATGACAAAGCGGTTAGTACACTAACGTGTTTATTAAGGACATGTATAGGGATCAACTTCAACGGAGATGTTGATTGAAACAACAATGAACCCTACAAAAGAAACGACTAGTGGAAAATGGACTCAAGACACCGAAGCGTCGGTTTTCTCTTTATTTTGAGTCTAGGAATGTCCCACTATTAAGAGGCTCTCATGCATATGGTGTAGTATGCGTTGTCTCAAGTGCTCAAGAAATATTTGATGAGATATAAAATTCACAACACTTACACTTTCGGGGTTGACAGGGTTGGTCGGAAGTTCAAAGGGGTTGGGTATCCATTTGAAGTGTTATGTATAGCAGCTGATGTAGCCAGAAGTTCTGGCAAAGAGTTTTTGTCTGATATTTCAAAAAAGGCCACAAGTTCTAGGCCTAGGAGGGTGGAAGTTCATGGATTAAATTGTTGTGAGTAACAGCTAGTTGGCCAGTTGGGATATTTATTCCCCTCCTTTGATAGGTTGGTTGGCTCATTCTTTGAAACACACTCCCAGTACTCACTCTCCACCTTGCATTAAGAGAGATCCTTGTGAGATTGGATAAAATTTGGGCATTTGAATGCATTTGAGAGCTTCATTCTTGAGCACTTGAGTTCGAAGCCAAGCTAGTGTTCATACTAGTTACTCTTGGAGGCCTTCCTTTCTAGGGCTCTAGGTGGTTTAGGTAGGGGTGGGCAGAAAAAGACCGAACCGAAAAAACCGAGACCGAGACCAAGAAATTTGGTCCTAGATAGTGAAAGACCGAATTTTGTTCGATCAATTCGGTTAGTTTCCTCGGGTAAACGAATAGACCGAAAAGACCAAATTAACAAAATATGCCTAAATGCAACCTATAATCCACTAATTTCAATAGGATTAAACTCTAATTTTCACATCCCTACTTCTTATAGGCATGCAACCTAATAAGAGTCTTTACTCATACATGCTTACGAATTTTTTTTGTGATTTTTGTGTTGAAAATTTCCATTATTTCTTTGCGTATATGAAAATGTTATTCTATTTCGGTCAGGACCGAGACCGAGACCGAGACCGAATTTGTCGGTCCTGACATTTTTGTGTTGAAATTCGATCTTCACTTTTCAAAGACCGAAATGACCGAAAGACCGAAGACCGATACCAAAATTTTCGGTCATAACGAATGCCCACCCCTAGGTTTAGTCTTATCATGCGCACTTCCAACCCATGTGGAGAGCCCGAGAAAAATTGTGAATGATCTACTCCCCCTCCACAAGGGAAAGTGGTAAATTGAGTCAAAACCGAGCTTTATCTTCGTGGTCGTTTGGCACATTTAGACCAGTCGAATGCGACCTAGCTCTTATGAGTCCCTCAATAT